TTTAAGGTGCTCATGGATTTACCAAAGTAAGGGTTTATTACCTGCTTCACTTTGGGATTTCCTTGCACATAAAACTGACATGCCGTGATCTGACTGAAATCCTGTTCAAAGTGATATTAAACCTTCCACACTCACTCATTCTACAACCCAGTGAGACCCGTGAAGATCCGGGGTAGAATACCGGTAGGTCTTCAGCATCCCATGCTTGCCATGAAAGGTGACTATGCTAGTCGTAAGAGGTGACTAACAGGATTGGGTGGTCAGATCCCTGACAATGTTATCCCAATTGTGTGGATCGATGCTCATGATGTCAGTCACTGGATTGTCTGGTCCAGCCTCAATTATTTACAGACCGCCAAGATATAGCTGCAATATTGCTGAGTACGGTGTTAAATAACAAACAAACAAAAAAACTGTGACTTTGTAAATGTGTGTGCAAGATTCACTACCAGATAGTGTGGACGGAGAAAGAGTTAACCAAATGGACAGTTTGAGTGACTTAATATGTGTGTGAAACTGGTATCACTGTCTCGTGAGTAATGTCCTGAGCAGGGTATGCATGTAAGCGTGTTAGACAGTCATCATCCACGGGGTCCAACTCACGACCCGGGCACGCTACCTGATAGTCCTTGTGGTAGATCGGAAACTGTGCAGCCAGAGGGAGCAGGGAGCGATTGGGCAGCATGAAGAGTTGCACAAGGGAGACAACAAAAGGTGCACATAATCTGAAACTCAGGGAGCAGATGAGGTCTGTCAGGGGAGATCAGATGTGCTAGTCTCAAGGTGTAGATTCCCCTGATACCACACCAATTAAGATGGTATTGTTATCTCTCATTTGGAGGATGGGAAAAAGCCATATTCTGCGAATGGAGTGACAACACTGGAAGTGTGGATTTATGTGTACAGATCGTAGGCGATAATTTGTGAGGGAAGTTCTATCACGAGCAAGACCTGAAAGACAGATTCTTTGCCTGACTGCCCCCATGATGTTTTAAGTGGCGGGCACACTGTGTTTAATACCCTGTAGTCATTCACCACATTCTAGCCATACACTTAGCTGAAAAAGTCAACCGCAACATATGAGCAACTTTATTCAATGCTCTGTTTCTCCATGAATGAGTGAAGGCAGATGGAAAATTTCAAGTAGTAAAATGTAATACTATGTTTCCAAGTCTGCACCCTCCTCGATGGGGTTTGTGATGATATGTATTCACTGTGATCACTCAATCCTCCCATTTCATGCAAAGTGAAACATTCACAGCCCTGTACATAGTTGCACATTTGGTCTCATAATCAATCAGAAGCTCCAGTGTAATTGAGCAGGATGGTGTTTGGTGATGCAGTATTACGCCATTCAAGATTAGGACTTGCTTTCTTTAGTAGATTGAAGTACATAAGTAAGTATTGAGAAAAGTCGGTGAAACAGTTAGGATGTCTGAAGATAGATTTGTGCGGAAATCAATGGAACTTACAGTTATTGTGGTAGTGCATTCACATGGATCATCTTGAAGATTGGTTGAAAAGGGAGAAAATTACTTTCTGCACCATTTCTGTTCTTTTTAATTCTAAATGTTCGAGATTGTGAAGCATGTCTTTTTGAGTGTTGCATGGCTTATCCTTATGCCGTATTTGCAGTATTAAGCACCCTACTTCTATATGTTCACCCTTACCAACTTCTTGACCAACCTTTAAGTACTTTTTGTAAACACCTCCTACTAAGACCAATTTCCTTGACAGTACATATTTTCTTTGTGTATATTACTTATTATATATATATATATATAATATGTCCCTTCTGCGTTGCTGATTTCTGCAAAAATATTTTTGCAAAGTAACTATTATTGAAGAAGTTTAAGTTTCATCAACATTTGAGCAAAGCTAGTTCATTACTGCCTGATCTGTGTGTCATTGAAATATGCGCACACCTTTGTCAACTTTCTAAGTGACCAGGTAGCTTATCACAGCAAATACAGTAGCTGTATGTCATTGTGTGAGAAATCAAATCATATCCAATTGCACTCAGATGACTAGCATGTGCAAAGTCATGCTGATATGAATAACTTTGGTAACCTTGATAAAGGGTTTTTATTAAAATGTAATTTCTAAGAGGTATGGTAAGCAAGAGCTCATTTTGGGTCACTTGAACTGCTAAATTTCCTAACTGCAGAAAACATGAAAATAATATAAATTCTCTTCATGTTGTTGTTGTTGTTGTTGTTGTTAGCTGTAAAAGACATAATTTGTTTAAGAAGAACAATGTCTTCACCAAAACTTATCTTTTATGGAGAGGTAGATGTTTTGTCACTGACTTGTTAGATTTTAAAAAATTCTACTTATTTTATGCAGACATAACTCTGGACTTGATGTTGTATGTCCAGATTTACAAGTACATGAATAAAAAAAACCCTGCTCATTGTTGCATATGAACACTTTTTACGGTCATTGCGGTCTTTTAGGTTCTTTTCCCATATGTATGTTTTGTCAATTTTTGTCTCCCTTTATAAAATGTCAAAATGCTCAGATGAAATGTTATATTTGCCAATGGGTTGAGTTAACCATCAAGACATGTTACAATGGTGTTATCCTAGAATACTTTTGCTGTGAGTCACTAGGGGAAGTTCTGTTAGACCCTTTTGAATATTTTCCCAGCTACAACTTTAGATGGGCTCACAAAAGAGTATATGATCAACTGAACTTTATGTACAGCTAGGATTTGCAGGGTTAACTGAATTTGTGTGGCTGCTTTGGGTTTCTTCCCTCTTTGAATAACGTACAACTACACATGACTGGAGTTCTGATGAATCTTGAAGAGTTGCAATTTGGTTACTTGGCGGACCCTGATAATATTTTCAGCTTTGTATAAAAAGAAAGAACTATTAAGATTACATATTCTGTATACATGTATTTAAGTATTGGCTTCAATATTTTTAAATATGCAAAGTGTGCACACCATATTTATGCCTCCATTAACGCAAAATTATATTGAAGCATGTAGATGTCAACAATATTAACTGCACAAACTGTGAATCTAATAATTAACATAAAAAACTGTACACAACTACGAGATCAGTAATATCAACACAAAGCCCACCCCTTTTATTATCAGCCAATCAGGAAACAGAAATATATACACTTGATATATGGTATTATGATTTTAGCAGGCAATATTCACCCCTAACACATGTATGTAGATTAGTTTGGATGTCAGTTACCATTGTTGTTAGACTACTCATTAAGTGAAAATTACTGTTATCTGGAGTTAAATTTTACCAAATTTAAATCAATGTGATGTGAGAGCACCAAACTGTAAGGTCTTACTGATTTAGTGATATATGTCAGTGATTGGTGTTCTTTTGTTTTGTTTGTTTGTTAAACGCATTAATTAAGCAATATTCCAGCTACATGATGGTAGTCTGTAAATAATCGCGTCTGGACCAGACAATCTAGTGATTGATTTCATGAGCATCTACGTATTTGGGATAGGATGGCATGCATCAACCAAGTCACAAAAGTTTGTTGGTGATAGTAGCTTACAAACAGTGGATCACATACAGTCAAGTCCCATTAATCCGACATTGTTGGTTGCATATGATTATGTCGGATTAATGAGTATGTCGGATAAACAAAATTAGGTAGTATAAACGTTCGTGATCGAAAATTGGACAACCACACGACAGATGACGATACGAACACGTAGGAAAATGAAATATTCATATTGTTGTGTTACATTGCCAGCGGAATATGTTTTCTAATCATGCAGCCACTAAAGTTTAACACAAAACTACTGTTACTGACTGTATGACTGATTCAAAATTGACTGATTGGAAAGCATAGTCTGGAATGGAAGTCGCTAATTTGAAACTAGTCCCGCAATGCTTAAGAAAGCTGCTGAGACCTGCATCACTTGGGACTTCCCTCCAACCTCAAGCTGACATGGGGCTGTTCAAAGCAACTCACTCACTTTTGGTATATCTCTCATTTCATTGCTGATACACACAGTTCCCCTCATTGCTCCTTGGAAGAAGACACGGAATCACAAATCCAAATGCTATGCTCAACTATGTTGAGGTAAAATAACGTTAATGTAGGGCCTTCTTGCTCTGTTTCCAGCAGTTAAGAAATGGTTACTGACAATCTGTGCAGGTATGGGACATAAACCAGGAATTTATGTTGTAGTGTAGAATGCAGAGAGAGTCCTGTTTTGAAGGTAAAAGACCTGGATGTAGAGATCCTGAGCTGCTGAGCTGTTTCTTGTTATGATGTCATCATATTTTGTTCTAACCATTAGAATTCAGTATTTATGCTAAAAATATCTGAATGTCAACGCTGACAGCAACTTTTGTTGAGTGGCTGTCTTTGTTGACTTCATATCCTGGCTAGCTACAGTACCATGGTGCTGTTTTTAAGATTGCATGCACTGCAATATGTTCATAAAGATGTCACTGAAATACCACCACCTGAGATGTTTTGCTGGTTTGAGCAAAAGAGATTAGCACAACTGCATCAGTCATTGTGTGTGTGTGTGTCATTTACAGAGAGCAACTGATCTATCAATACACTGACATTTCTCCTGATTGAGTCTGGTATAGAAAAATCATGACATCATAGACAGTGATATAAAGCAACTCCCAGGGTATACAGTGTTAAACAAATACAATGATGCTTTGGGCAAATGCATGTCAACTTTGATCAGGACCAGTGGTCCAATTGCACAGTTCATTTATGCAGCTCAATGAACAGTTTGTGTTGCACAGTGAACACAAGTCTTCCCAGCAGACATCATTAAGCATATTTTCCTTTGTATCGGTGAATGTTTTGTGGTTCTGGTTGTGCTGGTAGCCTGAAGAACTTCTTATAATAAAACCTCACTTATAATTGTGAAGGGGACATCCTAACACACCCAATGGACAGTTTGCCTCTGGCCTTTGCCTTCTAAGTACAAGCCAGTATATGTCACTTGTCATCTCTATTTTGATCTGTCATGTCCCTATTTGTTTCAGGTGATAGATGTGGATGCTTGACATCACCTCAAAGAATATGTGCCAAGATACGAAGTGTCCAGAAAGAGAGCAGAATGGTTATAGTGACAGCTTATGATCTCATCAGATTATTGTGATAGAGTGTATGGTTAATGGCCAAAGAGATCTTGTGGTCGTGTGAAAACTGTTTATTAACCACAAGCTTGACCATGTCTTTGGGTCTGAAAGCTTAGTTTGTGGTTTCCTAACTGGTCTTGGAATAATGTATGATGTGTTGATGTTAATAATTCAACTGGTGCAGGTTATCACATATTGGAAATCCAAAGCCTCTTGCCCAATTTTGATGTGGACTGACATTGAAGGCATTGATTTTCAAACTGTGAATGACAAAGATTTAGAAAATCCACCCACCTAATGTAGGGCAGGTTTTGAAACTGTTTGCCAATTGTACCAATCTATGTCTTATTATGCATGTGTTGCATCAATGGGTGCCAAGCCGGGGTTCGGAGCTTCATGGTGTCTAGATGCACATTTTCTCTCGGTGGCAATAAAACAAACACATCTCAGTTTGATGACTTCCCAGAAGATGGCAATAAATAATTGTTGACATGAAATTCAAATATATACTATTTTTTAACAGATAACTGTTGTAGAGAGAAACAGGAAATTGTTAAAATCTGTTATGCACTTCATATAGATCTTCAAAACATTGAAGTCTTGAATATTTGTTATTCATTTTCTACCACGAGCATGTTTAATATATTGGCAGGACCAAGCTTGAAACTGGAGATAATCAATAATCTGTTTGTGACTTGATGATTTGTACCAATATTCTCATATATGTATGATATTGTTTTTTGAAATACTAGATTATAATAATGATTACTTCTCAGATTTGGATAAATGGCCCACTGTCAGAATGTGATTCTGATGTCCTGTAAATTCTAGATGATTTGAGCAGTAATGATGTAAAAACAAGAAATAAAATTCAAATTTGATTGATAGGTATATTAAAGGTTCATTATTTCAAACTTCTTTGTCTTCATCAGTCATATTAAAAACCATTGAAATTGGACCATCATCGTTAGCAATGTCATTACTCTGAGAAAAAAGCAATGATCATTTCACCAACATGTTTTTTATAACAAGCTGTGTAATTTATCACATGTCAAGATTCTGATCTGAATCTCATTGTAGAGATATCCGTCCACAATTTGAGTACATTACACGTTCACATTATACAGATGTGGATATAAAGTTACTAATCCTCATTGTCTTTATATTGATTTTGGTGTTTTTAAAGATGATGTTAGAAGATAATGACAATGTTATCTTTATGATGCTTTGAATCATATAATTTGTTAGGATTTTTTCACAGCCACAAAACTCATCTTGTACAGGTTCCTTTTTGGAATGAGGAATGTTTTTGCTATTTTAGTTTATTAATTATTTTGTAGGCAATCATTCCTTTATGTTCTACTACAAATTGCAAGTGGTTATGCATCTTCCTGAGGTAAAGGAGTTAACTGAATATACCAGTCCAGTTTCAACCCACGCTGAACTAGGCTTGAGTTATGTTTTGGCTGGACTAACGAGTCTGCATAGTCCAATCAAAATCATGTAAGAAATCAACATCTGTTTCATAAACAACATGGCGACTGCTGTGTAGATTTCGGTCAGCCTTTGTACCGTCAGCTTAGTGTCAGCAGATAGTTTCCAATTCCTTTCATGTTTTTAATCAAAGTGCTCTTGTGATTTGATGCACTTCGCAATGTAAGAACCGTGTTATTACAAAATAAAACTTGTACAAGCCGGTGGCGCTTCGATCAGGCCCATAAACTCCAGTCTAGTTCAGCAAGGATGGAAACTGTTTGTTTACAGTCAGATAACTCCTTTGCCTTGGGAAGATGGTGGTTATGACAAATGTGTACATAATGATCACTGTATGTACCTGCTGTATAATGCCACAATTTTATTATATTTATAAGTTGGATTGTATTTTCATATGTCATATATTGCTATTGGTTGTTGAATCTTGTAAATAGGGTGCATTTTGAATGTGTGTTTTTGTGTCAGAAATGTTTATCAACTGAGCTTACTTATGGTCAGATGGTGAAGCAGGGTTTATGAGGGAACAATTGTTTCCGATGACTGGTTGTTGATGAACATGTCTGTAGGTCTACAGATGCATTTGATGCTTGTATCCAGTTCCATATTCATGTTATCAATTGTCATATACCAAGCCCACAGATCTTTTGTAATTTTCAACCAGTTTCACTGATGGCGACTGATATGATTATGTTTACATTCTGGTTTCTTCTTCATGAAGTGCATTTTCTAACCCTGTTATCTATAATGTCTGCATTTTTGTCATTGTATAGAATTTTCGGTTTCAAGTATTTCATGATATTTTCATGTGTTCTATGTGCATAATCTGAGGCAGTGCATTGAATATTTCTTTCATTGTTATCTGGACAGATATTATGTACCATTGATTATATTATCATTTTTCTCTTTATCAAAGATGAAAATAATGTTAGAGGTTTGGAACTGTGCATAAAGTAATATAAAACTTTCCTTAAACATTGGATAGATGTGTTAGATATATAGATTTCCAAAATTCCTCTTCATAGTAATGAATTATTTATATATTATGTCATGTATCGGTCACAAGTGTGCAGTTTGTTTTTGCACATATAACAGTAGTGTAGTATTTTCAAGAGAAATATTGATATCTGTTTTGACAATATACACAATCTGGACCAAATGTCCATGGAACAGAAATGGTTTCCATTTTCAGAATTAATTTTACGAAGAATAAGATTCTCAAGAAAGGTAATAGTTACGGAAAAGTATATTAAGTTTGGTTTAGTATTTCAGTTGTATCACATCCTCAACTATATGTTGGAGGAAAGGCCAACAGCATGTGCAAAAGTTCAGATTTCTGAGTTTGTCATTAGGGTTTTTACCCACTCAGTATTTAAAATAACGGAAGAAATAAAGTGCACTATGAACTCTTGTCTGGTGAGGGAGTTAGTAACTGGTGATCAATAGAATTAGTTTGGGATGTTACAAGACAAGCACCTGTGGTTTTTATGACATATGTTTCCATTTCATGTTGGGGTTTTAATATCTGTTTCATTCGCTGAATAATGATGAAAGGAAACGATAACTTCAGAGTCTTTTGTTCAACCCCTTTAACAACCTTATTCCTTACATGTAAATTTTACACAAGTCCAGAAACATTTGTTGTTAATGCAAGTCCCACATATGTAAGTTATAAAGTATATTTGCATATTGCAGCATATTTATATGCACTTGTACAGAGCTATGAATGAGAAATCAGTATGTGTATTTGTGAAAACAACCATTCAGTTTTGAAAAATGTATGCATGACAACAAACTTAATGTAATGTTATGTCCATGGCATTTGGGTTATGAAGCATGCAACTGGTTGTTCAGTAGCATACAGAGAGTGACATTTTATTGTAAAAACAGATTAATATTTGAGCTCAGTGTGAAGAAAAATGACAGTTCCTAAAGTTTTATTCCACTTTGTGAAATATCAGGTCTGCTGATCTGTAAACCAAGTGATTAAGAAAATGACAGAGGTTTTATATTGATCTTCTTAGATATGTAAATGTGCTATGTATGGATGACATCTAAGGTAACCCTACCTGTAATTGTCAAGTCTGACACACTGTTATTACAATCACAAATTCGTGGAACGATTGCCCTGAAACATGAACAATAAGGTCACAATGATGTTAGTGCTGTGGATCATATGTGTATTATATACGAACTAGCTATGTTATAGCTATATTCTATCCCCAAATGTCTTCACCTAAAGATTGTCTTATTAATTCCTATCTTTTAGGAAAATAAGCTATTTTGTATTTGGTAATATTGTCAACATGGAGATATCATAATTTATATAATATGATATGTGACTTGTGCCGTCCATTTTACTTGAAAGTCTGTCCATAATTTCACAACATTTTGTTCATGTACTGAATAAAATTGTTATATAGATGTCTCTTTTTCATTGGTTTCTGTAAGAATGGATATTTCCAGAGCATCTTTCGTATTGATGCCGGGTCAGAATTGTTCCCAAGTATCTCATACTTGTTAGAGTGTAGGACGGGTGGTTAGGCCCGGTGACATAGTTGCCTGTGTGACATCGTGACTGATGGCGTGGTTATGCTTTCAGCCATTCCCCAATAGGCGGAATAACGTTGACTGATGCGTTCAACACCAGTCACTCCCTCCAGAGTGTATTATCAGAAAAAAAGTCAAGGAGGAAATAGATCTCTTGAATCCCATACTTAGGCATAGTAAATGGTAATTGATTGAGCTAACCGATTATGGTTTATGGATCTTGCATTACCTTGCAGTCAGTTTTCATCATTGATGCCTTTAAATTATCTAGTCTTTGTCTTGTTTGTATATCTGTTGGGGGCACGGGTGGCCCAGTCGTCTAAGGCGCCGCGATTCGCTGTGCAGAGTTGCGTCCCTTAGGCACGCCAGAAACCTATGATTGTGGGTTCGAATCCCGGTTCGCCCCGATTATGTTTCTAGGTTTGTCAGCACCATACCCGTGCTCGTGGGTTTCACCGAAGTGGTAAACGTCTGAGACCTGCATCACTTCGAGCTTTCCTCCCACATTAAGCTGACACGCCGTGATATAACTGGAATACTGTTAAAAGCGGCGTTAAATCCAACTCACTCACTCACTATATCTGTTGATTGTTTAACCCCGCATTCGACTATATGACGATGGCCTGTACATAACCGAGTCTGGACATGACAAACCTGGTAGTATACTCCACAACGTATGTGCCGAACTGCCATGACAGATTTATGCTTCAATAACATGGAAACTCCATTGTGTTTCTCAATTAAATAGGCTCGACCGAGGTGTTATAAATGATTCCCCTTCAGATACCTCTTCCTTTTCTCACAGTGATTTTACTCCCATCCCGTGTCAGCACTCTGCGGTCTAAATCTGACAGTGTTTTGCGCACTTAAGGTCTTCAACCTTAACAGATGACCGACATAACCGCCAGATTACCCAAGGTCTTCTCTTTCTCCTAAATTCCCTGACCCCTCGCCGGTGTTCCTTTAATGTCCCGCCAACCCCTTTAATTCCACGTTATTTGGGGGCAATATATTTACGTGGGGCGACAGCGAGTCTCCTGTCGGTAACGTTGAAACATCAGTGTCAAAGTTTGAGAGTATTCGCTCCCTACAGAGCCCCGACCGTCGTTCAAGACACGACTATCGTCAGTAGACATCTCAACGATACAGAAATCTTGTTAAATTTGCCGACTTGCTATGGCAGATAATCAGACACAAAAGAAATGTCATCTCCCCAAAATCAGTTATACACAATTGCGCCCCCTCCACACGCTTGTCTGCAACATAAGAAATACATCTTGAACCACTTTGAGAAGGCAGAGAAGCTTATTAATATCCCTGAAGACGATTTTATTCATCGCGGTTGGAGTGTAGCAAGGGTGATCTCTTTTTCTACTCCTCTCTATACACTGTACATATATTGGCAGGGTAGACAGGTCGTGGCGCTAGGTGGTCGTCTCAAAACATATTTCTTAAACAAAAGACGCACCGGGGATGCTTAAAACACTATGCGGTTGAAAATATGTGATATGTGTCTCTAGAATCTATATAGACTTAGCAATATATGAATCGTTTGTCTGGATTTTGACCGATTTACCCATTGCATTGGTCTCCCACACGCAGCAAATACTCTCTTTATTCGATCACTTGAATTTAATTACGAAATTAACGATAACACAGTCGGTTAGTTCGTTAGGCATTGCCTGTTGTCATGTAATGGTAAGGTTTTAAATATGCAAAATACAGTCTTAAACAACGTTAGCTTGCGCTTGGAACTTAATATATGATACCGATTAAAAAACGATTCACAAGTTTATGTTCCTGAGAAAGCGCTCATAGACAAATCAAACAGCATTTGAACTTCTCATGAATTATCCAAGGGACACATACGTAAGCAGATAAGAAATAAAATGTATTACTATGAGGTATTTCAACCGTATTTCGCAAATCGCTCATTAAGAAAACCGTGAACATATATACTGATACAACACACAATTGGAGCGCCTCAAATGTATATCCCCAGCCTCAGATAAGTGATCAGGAATGAGATGGTCCCCTCAATTACGGGTAATTGTCACAGGTAGCGTCCGTGCACCCAGGCATAAGGGATTATCCCCGACGGTCGCGATGTACCGATACACTAAAGTAGTCCGCTAATCTGAGCCCAGTATGCACCCTCTGCCCCTTACTAGACAGTTGACGGGATCCCCTGCCATCATGGTCATTGTGGCCATGTTTAGAGAAGAAATTAATACGGGCAGTGCGTGAAATTTATGCAAAATGGCACACAGGAGTGAATGTTTGGCTGTTAGCTTTTCATATACGAAACGTCCAAATATATTGAGGAATATCCAGTGACGCAGATTCTGAACTCTGATAAGATGTCATGTGTCTAGTGTTCGGGGCCTCGACTGATCGGTGAAAGAATAATGAGCTTTTGTATTCCACGGAGCGTCGTAAACATTGGTTTGATAGACATAGATATATAACGTGGGAATTTAATCAATTAATATAAGTTAAGGCATAAAATCTCAAACAAAACGGCAAAATATCATGAACACAAAACAACCCAATTATGACCGAACATAAAGACACATTTTCATAAAAAGAATGCAGGCTTTCACCAAGCTTTCAACCAAACAAAATACTTTGCGAACGCTGCTTAAATGTTTGTATACTATCATAGTTTGCAAGATGTTCATATTTGGAAACTATCACTGATTACACAATCTTGAAATCTATGAACGTTTACAAGCTTCAAAAACGTTTGGAAACTATAGTCCTTTCCAAATATTTCCAAGCTAGGAAACAATTTTTCCAGTGTTTGAATCATGATTTCTAACACGGTCCATTTTATTGCATTTTTCCCCCACCTGAAAACTTTACATTGATAAATTCACCCATTCCCAGGTCCCCTACATTCTACTTCTGGTCGCGCGAGATGATTTAACCAAATTGAATCAGGTGATCAGGCTCTATGACTTGGTCGATTGCGTGTCATCGTACCCCAAAGACTAGGAGCGTTATGCCAGACTCGCTTGTACTGTTTGAAGTGTATTTTTATGCATATTTATATATTTGTAAGTAGGCTTTGTTCTCTTTATGAGAGGATTGAATTGGCCAGCGACTACACACGATGAATGTAAGAAAATATTATTTAGAATGTCTACAGTAACTTAATCTGTTACCCATGAAAACCCAGGTTAGAATTGGTCTACACATCAATCCATGCTTGTCGTAAGAAGTGTCTAACGCGATCGGGTGGTCTCGCTGACTTGGTTGATGCACGTCATCGCATCCCGATTGCGTATATTGATGTTCATGATGTCAGTCATTGGATTGTCTAGTCCAGACTAGATTATTTACAGACCGTCGTCATATAGCTGGACAATTGCTGAGTGCGGCTCTAGGCAACAGACAGACTTGATCTGTATGATTGTCTATGTTTCGTCGCCATACTGGGCTATTATTTCCAGGCCACCGTATTGTAGTTGGAATGCGGGTATATGCTCACCCCTTTCTTATCATATTCGTTGTCATTCCCGGGACTGAAAACTGCTGAAGTAATAACAATGAAACATTCATATTTCTAAAATAAAAATACTTCCTGCCTTTGTCATAACTTCAACGCCTTTTGAGAATTTTGTCCGGCCACCCCGAAGGTAATGTTTATGACGACCATAACTGCCTGTACATTTAACGCATCTGTTCACAGCGCATATTGTTTAACAAAGGTGAGCAATCTCGCTGGTGTAGTTATTGCTTTTGTTGTTGTTTGAATTGTACCAGACTTGTGAGAATCGAACCATAATCTCAGGCTTTAAGAACCAACGCTTTAACCACTAGGTTGCACAGAACATACCGAATACGAAGTCTTCCCAATTCACATCCTTACGTTGTATGTCTGATCGCGAAAAGCATGTTACCTGGTTACTCTTAAGGTTTTCTATATTTTGCCATCACGAAGGTTTTCACGAGTGGTTACATGAATGTAACGGCCTTTGAATACCATGCACGTATTGACCTGATCTTGACATCGGCAGTGCTGTCTGCCATGGGACTCAAGTTATACACAGCATAATGAACATCCTAGGATACACAAAAAAAGTCTTGATATTTGTTTATGATCATGGACGCCACAGCGACATTCAAAATGATAATCAGCTGAATATCAGCAGTTCTCATAATGTTTTAATTACTTCCTCACTCACTCACTCACTCACTCACTCACTCACTCACTCACTCACATCATAGCAGTTAATTGTATCTTACATTCAGTCTGTTGTCACTCAAATGTTACAATATCCAGGTGATGAGAGCTTCAGTACCTGTTGACGTGATATCGTTGACAGTTGTTAGCATCCCAGGCCGTCTGTCAAACACGTGTAGTGACCAACAATAGGTATTTCCTGGATTGATATATCAATTATTTCAAACATATTCCCGAAATAACGACAGAACATCTTTTATATCATTAATTATATCAGAAATAAACAAATGGAACAAACACGACCTGGAAACATGAAGATTGTCAAACTTTGGACACTCGAAAGTCTTCGGTCTGAAATGGTTTATCACTTTCCACGATATACAACCTGGAACATTATGATGATAACCAGGTGCATTTCATAATTAATAACTAAGTGATTCCATTGCATTTGATTGGTTAATCTCGCAAAAATACTTTTGCTTAACCAGAATTTATTTTAGACCACGCCCATTAGTGGTCTACTGTTCCCTGATTGGTTCATAATAGGATGGTCAGGGCTTGGGTGGCGTTAACGATATCACTGATTTCGTATTGTTGTTTACATTTTGTGTTTGTGTTAATGATTAAAAAGCAGTCTGTGAAGTTATTATTGATGACTTATTTGTTTATACGAATGGATTTAGGT